AATAAAGATTAACACATGATACCTGATAGGATATCAATTTCTTTTTGAAGTACTGTCCGACCACTTCCAGAAAGCATCTTTGTATGCAATGATATACCCTGAGCATTATCATGAAAAGGAGTATTCCTTTGCTTAGTACATGCTACTATGAGGAACCCGAAACTTTAAATTTCCTGATTAAAACTTTAAAAACAGTGCAACCTTAATATTTCATTCACCAAGCTTTTCAATCCATTTCCCATTCTTTAAAATAGATAAAGTGTATTTAGCGCCTCTGTAGTGAAAGATAACACGTGCAAATATATAACAAAGAAGCTCCAGATATAGATTGGGGTTCCCTGCAGTTCGCTGTAGTACAAATGGAAATATCCATGTAAGGAAAGCTCTAATATTTTTAAGTCCTTTTATATAGCAGCATTGCAACATTCTTACTACTGTGTGTTCAGAAAATATGAGGTGGTAGAACAATGCTCTTAATTTTTCACAGTGCCATCTCAGGTAGAGTTTAATTCAAAATCTTAACTGAGAGCACAAGTAGTGGCAAAAACAAAACACAAAAGCTACTGCCCCAGAAAGCTTTTTCATCTTGGAACTTTTTTTTTTTTAAAATAGTGACAATATTCTCTTTGGCAAGGCTTTCTGCTTACCCCTGCTCCCATGGAGTTGGGACTAATACAAGAACAGTGAAGGGTGAAAGCTGTAAATCTGAGCTCCCAGCCCATCAGAAGAATCCAAAGTTACTCTCTGCAGGGAGCAAAGGATGCACTGCAATTCCAGCGCTGTTCAAGTACAGGCACACAGGGACAACTCACATGGCCAATGCAAACTGTGCATCTTCCAAGAAGTAAACTTACTATCCTTCCCTCCCCTGTATAATCTTTTCCCTCATTTTCATTGTGGAAGCTAGGAAATGGATCCCTCTCTTGTTCCCTACAGACAATGTCAGAGCGCAGCTTCCACATTTTGCCATTCCAAGAAGGTTTTATGGTTTGGCTAGCTCAGCCATCCATTCTTAACTCAGCAATGAGAGGTTTGGAAAGCTCACTAATTCATGCAAATACACACTGCAGAACAGAGGGCTGCAGACAGCCCCGTATCTGAAGCTCAGATCACACAGTAGAGACAGAGATCAACATTTCTGACCGAGTACTGGCAGCCCACAACAGAGAACAGATTAAGGAACATACATATATATCCAGCTACTCAAACACATTTTTTTCCCCCCTTTCTCACCCCCAGAGTCAGATTAGAGCTTCTATTTCAGCAAAAGTATCTGAACAGCTTAAATAACTCAGATTTCATACATCAGCATTGTCCAGACAAGCCACAGCCTTTTCTATTTTAGGTTTATACCTCAGTCAAACAGAGACAGCATGGACAGTGGTGAAGATGAGCACATTTCTTAGGCTATGTCAGATTGATAAAGCAGAAATAATTTTCAAGATGTTCATACTGTCCTTTGCAGACAGCCACATAGGACAGATGATATCCCTCACCTCCTCCATCAGGCAGCTCTACACAGAGAAAAATTTTTTATTTAACTACTGTTTAATAGCCAAAAATACTAATATTTTATTTACCTTACCTGCCATACACAGTAACCCAAAGCCATACAGGGAAATTCAGCCAGGGTCTTAAAAGACCAAAAACACTCCAAGAAAACAGAAATCTTGGAGAAAGCACTGCAGATAAACAGAACTGCACAAGTGAAGGTTTGCAAGTGTGAAATGTGGTCCTGCTTTGAGAATTGACCCTGCAAGGAATAGAATTATGGGGATCCACATTTCCTCTCACTAGTTCTCCCACATAAAAAAGGAGATAGGCTCAAAACTCTCTTTAATTGCAAGCTCTGCCAGCTAAGCCTGGCATCAGAAACTCTAATTGCATGTGCTTTTTGTGCAACATTTCTGCTCCTCAAGCACAACTCTGCAGGACAGCTGAGTTTCAGTCATCTCTGGCAATTTTCTTCTGGGCTCTTGCTGCAACCTATTAACCCTACAAGGGGCAGTTAGCCAACAAACCAGTTGATGCACAAGAAGATACTGCCCTCGTTCTCTTTTTTCAGCCATGTTGGTTCTACAAAGCCAAAAATAAAGGAAAAGGTGCAGACTGGGAGAGGAGAGAATTAGTTAAACCAGATGGTCAATTCTACAAGACATTGGTTCTCCATTACCTGTATAGGCCAAGCTGGCAGAGGCTGTAAGAAGTCAGCTTTGTAGGGATAGTTCACCATAGCCAAGTTTATCCATGTTTCACTCAGCCAGTTTTTCAACATAGCAGCATCCTGAAGATTTTTTAATGGGCTACACAAACGAAATGTGCTGGAAAGCCACTGTAAACCTGCATCTTTAATAAAAAGACAAAAATAATGTTTAATGTATTGTACCATTAACACATAGGTCAGTTGTGCTGCTGCTAAAAAATATTTCACTTAGCATAACTAATCTGGTGAAATTATTCCACATACATACAAGCATAGCAGACCAAATTTTAGTCAGAACCTCCAAGTGAAGGGAAATACAATGTGCATACTTCAGCATATGGCTATATCACAGCTAAGATAATGTTATCTAAAAAATCAAAGACAAATTTACAAGACATTTGGCTTTTTTTTTTTTTGCTAGGAAGTAATATCAGGGTACTCTTCTTCCAATGAAAGGAAAACTTCAAGCCAGCTAGCTCACAGTGCATGGACTATAATAGATAGATCTCTTAGGACTCTCCCACCATTTCCTTTCATTATTTTATCTGGTCTAGAACTCATCCAATTCAGCTTCAGTGATTTTAATTAGCTAACTCATCATACCAGGCTTTCTTTTTAGGACACTGAACCAGTAGCAAGATTTTTTTTTTAAAATTGAATTCCTATGCTGTACAATGAGCTCATCTCATACAGAATCATTTAGGTTGGAAAAGACCTTTAAGATCATCCAGTCCAACCATTAACCTAACACTGCCAAGTCCACCACTGAACCATGTCTCTAAGCACCACATCTACACGTCTTAAATACCTCCAGGGATGGGGACTCAACCATTTCCCTGGGCAGCCTGTTCCAATGCTTGACAACCCTTTCAGTGAAGAAATTTTTCCTAATATCCAATCTAAACCTCCCGTAGCACAACTTGAGGCCATTTCCTCTTGTCCTTTCACTTGTTACCCAGGAAAAGAGACTGACACCAACCTTGTTACAACCTTCTTTCAGACAGTTGTAGAATCATAGAATCATTTAGGTTGGAAAAGATCCTTAAGATTCAGTTCAACTGAGTCCCTAGCACTGAATCCATAAGGATTGCAGTGATTTTCTATACCTGATTGCCTCTTGGCATTTAAACTACTTTTTTTTTTGAGAGTAACAACTATCTGGCCTACTACTAGCATGGCCAGTTAGCGCAGTCAGTTAGAGCATGGTGCTAATAACACCAAGGTCGCGGGTTCAATCCCCATACGGGCCACATCTAGTCTTTCTTCTGGCTTGCCAATGTGACACCCATCTACAAGAAGGGCCAGAAGGAGGACCCGGGGAACTACAGGCCTGTCAGCCTGACCTTGGTGCCAGGAAAGATTATGGAGCGGTTCCTCTTGAGTGAGCTCAACAGGCATGTGCAGGTCAACCAGGGGATCAGGCCCAGCCAGCATGGGCTCATGAAAGGCAGGTCGTGCTTGACCAACCTGGTCTCCTTCTATGACCTTGTGACCTGCCTAGTGGATGACGGAAAGGCTGTGGAGGTCATTT